TACCAGATGAAATACACAAGAATCAAATTGCAAACACTTTACAAACTTAGCTGCTGTACAGACCTAGCTGCCTCACAGACTTAGCTGCCTCATGGACCCATGCCAGTGCCCTAGACCAGAACAACCTGCCATCACCCTGCTGCCTATGCCAGGAAAACCAATACCATAGGTGAAACCATTTCCTTTCAGAACACCACATTGGTATCTCTGTCTATCTCAGAGCTAGAACTTGAGCTGTGGACTTGTAAACTCCACCTAGCTATAGTAGTTTTCTGGCTGAGAAGGGTGCTAATTCACAGGACATCTCTCTCCTCAACTGAGACAGGTCTTCCCTTGAGATAAAGATCAGAGATAAATTCAGGCAGGGTGAGCAACCCTTTTCTCCAGTGAGTTCCTGAGCCAAGATTATCAGAAGAAAGACCTGTTAAGGCCCCAGGCATGAAAAACTGTAACATTAAAATGACATGGACGAAGCAGACTATTCCACATCCTACACAATGCCAATACAAGATGTTACCCCAAAACAGTGATCAAAACACAGAATCAATGGATTTCCTGAAGCCAGAAAATCTGATGGAACTTTCTGACATAGAATTCAAAAGAACAGTCATTGAATATTTTCAATGGGTAAAAGACAAACTTGAAGAATTATGAAACACTGCAAGCAAAAGCCAAGAGGAACTTGAAAAAACAATCCAAGACAATGCAGATAAAACAAATGAGGCATTAGAGGCTCTGGAAAAAACAAGAAACTGCAATACAGATTATGAAGATCAATGTTTCAGATGTTGTCAAAATGTTGGAGGGACAGAGTTGAAGAGATGAAATGGGAAAAAAAGTAAAATAGATCCTTAGCATTATCTGGTAGAACAAAAACCATACTCAAAAGGAAAGAAAAAGAAGAAAATCTAAGAATAATGTGGGACACCATCAAGAATAACATGAGCATAATTGGAATCCCAGAACAGGAAGAAGTAAGTAAAGGCACTGAGAAAGCTGTGAAAGAATTACTAGAAGAAAATTTCCCAGGTATAATGAAGATTGTGAGAGAAAATATATATATGAAGCTGAGCGAACTCTATATAGAATAAGCCCCAAAAGAAAAACACCAAGGTATATTGTAGTCAAATTTTCCAGAACCAAAAATAAGAAGAGAATTCTGAAAGCAGCGAGGAAGAAATGAAGAGAAACTTTTAAGGGAGAGCAAATAAGATGAAGTGCCAATTTCTCAGCAGAAACCATGTGAGTAAGCAGACAGTATAGTGGAATGGCATACATTAAACATTCAAAAAATACAACTGTCAACCAAGAACACTGTACCTTGCAAAATTGTCCATCAAATATTACTGAGAGATCAAGATGTCCTCCAAAAAGTACAGCCTAAGGGAGTTTGTAGAAACAAGACCAGTGTTGCAGGAAATACTGAGTAAGTCCTTCTTACAGAGATTATGCCACAGGAAGCAAGAAGGACCAGAGTAACCAGATACAACACCATATAGAATGCAACAAAATGGTAGCAATAAAACCTTGTCTCTCAATAATTACACTGAATGTGAATGCTTTAAATGTACCAGTGAAGAGAAAAAGAGTAGCATGTTTGATAAAAAACAACAACTTCATCAATATTCTGTCTACAAGAGACACACTTGAAAAGTGAAGATAAAGGAAGACTAAAGCTAAAAGGGTTGGGGGAAAAAAACTGAAAGACAAAACATACCAAGCAAATGGCAACCAGAAAACAAAACAAAACAAAACAAAAAACCAAACAAACCAAAACCAAACCAAAGTCACAATATTAATCTCCAACAAAATAGATTTCAACATAAAGGATAAGGAGAAGGAAGGTCATTGTATAGTACTTAAAGGATGAATAGGACAAGAGGACATAACCATAATAAATATCTATACACCAAATAATAGAGCGGTAAAATAAAAAAAGCAAACATTAAAAGAACTGAAAAGAGAAATAGATACCACCACGAGAGTAGTAGAAGACTTCAATACACCACTCTCAAGAAAAGATAGAACTACCAGAAAGAAGCTCAACAAAAATACTGAAGAATTAAAACACGTAATAAAGCAACTCAAGCTCATAGATACATACAGGCTAATGCACCACAAAAAAGCACAGTATGGCTTCTGCATGTTTATGGAACATTGTCCAGAAGAAAAAAAAATTCACATTTTAGGTCACAATGCAAGCATTGATAAATTTTAAAAATATGGAAATAATACAAAGCATCTTCTCAGACTACAGTGCTACAAAATTAGTACTTAATAACAAGAGGATGAAGGAGGGGAAAAAATCATGAATTTGGAAGCTGAACAACACCCTGCTTGAACATGAGTGGATAATAGAAGAAATAAAAACTGTAGAAAAAGTGCCTTGAAACAAATCACCAAGAAAACACAACTTACCAAAACCTCTGGGAAACAGCCAAAGCAATAGTTAGAGGTCAATTTACAACAATAAGCAAACACATAAGAAGTCAAGAAAAAAAAGATAATTGTATTTTCAAAACCATGAAAAAGAACAGCAAGAAAACCTGACACTCTCTAAAAAAGCCTGGAATTATAAAAATTAGGGCAGAGATAAATGAAATAGAAAACAGAAAAACAGTTGAAACCATCAACAAGACCAGGAGTTGGCTCTTTGAAAAGGGGTGTGAGTGTGTGTGTGAGTGTGTGTGTGTGTGTGTGTGTGTGTAGTTGTTTTTGTTGGTTGCCTTTGAGTTGAGCATGACTCATAGTGACCCTATGAACAAAAAGCTTAAAGCCGCTCTACAAGTATTGACATTTATCAAAGTTCATAGAGTTTCCAGAGGCATGTTATTTAGGAAGTGGATGTTACCACTCCTGCTTCAAAATATGTATATATAGTCATGCTCAGCAGTACTTAACAACAAGTGTGTGTGTGTGTGTGTGTGTGTGTGTGTGACCACTGGGCCAATTGATAGCACCAAGATAGATGGAAAAAAGATTGAGGTTGTTAACAATTATAGCTTGCTTAGCTCCACATCAACACTATCAACAAGAAGTCAGGAAATCAAAAGATTAATTACATCGGGAAAATCTGTTGTCAGGGACCTCTCCAAAGTGAGGAGAAGCAAAAACGTCAATCTAGAAACCAAGGTGCTCCTAATCCAGGCCATGGTCATCACAATATCTTGCTATACATCAGAATGCTGGACAATGACCAAGGATGACAGAAGAATTATTGATATAATCAAATTGTGGTGCTGGAGAAGAGTCTTGAACATACCATGGACCACCAAGAAAACAAATAGGTGTCTTGGAGAGGGTGAAACCAAGTTTCTCCTTGGAGGCTAGGATTTTGAAGCTCCTTCTCACATACTCTAGGCACATGGCCAGGAAATACCGATTTTTGGAGAAAGTTGTCATGCTTGGAAGGGTGAAGGGACAGAGCAGGAGAGCAAGATCCCAGATGAGATGGATTGACACAGTAAGTATGGAAGTGGGAGTTGGTGTGTCAGAATTAGTGAGAGTGGCTTAAAACAGGACAGGGTTCTGATCTGCTGTACATAGGGTTGCAGGTGACTTGACAGCACATACTAAGAACAACATATATATGTATATGTGTGTGTATACACACACACACACACACACACACACATACATTTATAACTGCTGTGTTCTTTAGTTACTAGTCTCTATCACTTTCTATCTTACATATTTCTGTACATATAGGTTACTCACATAGCTCCTGTTGCATTACAGTTGCAAATTTTGATGTTTGTATGTTTTTTTGAGAAATAAATTTGCTTAAGTCTAATCCAATTTCAGTTGTGACTCATGCTGTGATAGGGTTCTTTAAAATTCTGAGTTGGCACTCTCTTCTAAATAATTGTTAACTCAGAGGATTTTGCTATTTACATTTGGCAAGCTCTGCTTGAGCTTAATTCACCTTGACTTCTAATGCACTCACATTCCATCTTAGTTCAAAGGCTTCCTAACCCTTTTAAATTCTACCAATGACTTTGAAAATTATGTTGAAAATTACTTTTGACCTTTTGTGCTGTAGAAAAGTTCTCTTTTTTGTTTTGATTCTTCCTTCTTGTCTGAGCCTTCCATGAAAACTATTCTCTCAAAACTCCCTGCTCAACTCCTCGGGATGGAGGTGGGGGTGGGAATCTACGTTCCAAAATCTGCAATCGTAAGTACTTTGTGATGGTGCCCTTAACTCATATTCTCATATGGGGGTTGAGTGGAAACATCTTTGTGTGTCTTTTATGTGCTCATTACCTTCCTGCTTCTTCAATTCTTCTTTCAAGACCACTTTGCTACAGCAAAGTCCACTGTACAATATGGCCCCTCTGTGTCAGAAAGCTGCTGACTTTCCTTTCCATTGTACCTTGATAAGATGATGGATAATTTTATTCACGACAGCGTAGTTGAAGAATGGCCATTGGTTACAACCCAAGTGGCATATATAATGTCTCTTTGATGAACATTAATGAGCAAAGGTGTACTTCAAGGAAAGCACATCACAAGGATTTCCTAAGAGAACATTATGACTGGAACCTGTCATTCTTGCTTATATTCATAAGAACTGAATGTCTGCACATTCTAACATTTGCATTGCACCACTAATATTAAGTATGAGAATAGATGGGAAACAAATGGCAGAACTGGAGGAAGTTTTCCTTCTTCCTTTAGAAAAAAAATGGCAGATGGTGTTTTGAACACAACTTGTCATAGAACATGAAAGCCTTAAAGTTCTGGCTGTTTGAAGAAGGGGGGTGGAAAGTGGATTTTCTTTAATTGTAAAAACTAGCTTTAGATTCTCTCAGGGGCTTAAAGAAGAAAAAAAAAAAACACCATTGAGAAATGGGAGTGAACTTCAAGATAGGGTTTGTGTAACAAGTACCTCAAACCACAGGAGTCACATGGGCTCTTTCTGCTTTGCTACTTTTGATTACTTGTCAGAGGGTTTATACTTTTAGCTTCCCCATCTTGCAAGGTCACTCAACCATGTGCAGGCTGGAGTAATCTTTATCCACAATGTCTTTACAAAAGCTCATACAACAGAGCAGTAATGGCAACGTGGTGGACTACTGTTCTGGTCCAGCATACAGCTCTTACTCTGCTCTCACAGGCAACCTTCAGATGGATGACAATAGAAGGCTTCAAATGCTGGCAGACACTGTGGCCACTCTGCCTCGGGGACGAAAACAGGTATGATTGCTATTTTGTACCTTTAGCTGTGTTCTCCTGACTCTGGAGTACTATGTTTGTTTGGTTACCTATTACATATTAAAATGTTTAAGTCAGAAGCTTTAGAATTAGTAATAGCGAAGAGAGGAGGAGTCCAGTGAATTTGATGAACCAGTCCAAAAGATTAAGAACATATAAACTTCTTTTTTTCCCTCCAAGCAAAAGCTTTAAATTATTTCTCTCATTTCAAGAGATGTCCAGGTAAAATCCAAACCACTGAGCATATCAAATGTGGGAGTAGTTTATTACAGATGCAACTAGTAGGAGAATAGTTGATTTTTTCCCCTTCCTTTACACCTCCCATTGGCAAGTTCCCTCTGATCTTCCCTCCCTGTTGTTGATAATTATTAGTAATTACAGCTCAGAATCAAATGAGAATTTTTTTTCCTTGAGGATGAGTTTTGTTGGCTAAGGAAATTCTTTTCAGTTCTGTGGTGGCCTTTTCCTAGACAAAGGAGGGACTACAGAATGCTGAATGCCAGATGACAATGAGCTTGGCTATTTACTGCTGTGGGACTTGCACCGGCCGCTTGCCTTATGTAGAGTGAAAACTGTAACACATTTCCTTTGTTACTGAAATGAAGATAATAATAGAATTACTCTTATATTTGTCAACAGTAACTGACGTATAGTATGTGCACAAGAAACTTTAGATGGTGCTCTAATGATATTTCTTTCAATATATTGTCCTATGGATTAAAAGTCTTTTGGAATACTAGTTATCCAACCAAATTTACTTTTAATTTAGCTTTTCCTTATTTGTGATTGTTGCTATTCAACTTAAACAATACATGTGTATAAAAGATATACGCTATTATAACTATGTTGTTGTTTTTACAAGTATAAATGAGAATTAAATACACACACATGTATGTATTTATATACATATACATATGTATAAATACATATATATTTGTAACAATATATAATACTTTTCCAGATTTTGGCAGTGTTACTTGCTACAATGCCCTAAGTGCATCTCTAAATTTAGATACAGAATTTTTTTAAAAAAGATGCAGAGCTGCTATAAAGAATGAATTTTTTCCATTAATGTGTGCATATACATTATGTGTTCTACTTTTCTAATTAGGAAGCTGCAATACGATGTGAGAGTCATAACCTTTTGGGATGACGTGTGCTACCTGCGTCCTTAGTGTTTTGCACAATAACGATAAGGACGTAATCTACTATGGTTTATTTCCCAATCCAAAGTACTTTTGTGTTATTATGTAAAAAACAAAATAAAACAGAAAACCCTACACCATCAAATTGATTCTGAGTCATTGGATATTAAGGATAATCGTGCTACTGTGCAAATAATCATCACATTTTATGATAATAGAATGATGAAGATTTCCTTTAGAGAACATATCTGAAAGTAAACCAACCATGGGAAATTAAAAAAAAAATCTTTATTCAAATTTTGACACAAAATACTCAGGTTTTCTTTCTTTCTATTTGTTATGAAGCCATCAGACAAAATATGGTTCACTTAGTTGTGATTATTTCATTTTTTTTCTGCAGAACTTTTACTGCTAAAGATAGAATTTTTTTTTAAACAAATGTGCCTACTTCCAATTCTTAATAGCCTCCAGCTTGTAACTTCGTTCATTTTGTCTACTTATCAAACTATACCCGGACACTGCAAAACAATGCATATTTTCAGAGTGTGTTCTAGGAGGTAGGCATTATACTAAACATGGAGATCAAAGTTGAGAGGAACACCTTTGTTTTGTTTATAGAGTTTACAGTTCATAAGTAGAACTAATAGGCATCAAAGTTGAACAAAATCAATGTTCTAATCCAAATGTTCTTCAAATGTGACTTTGAAGGCTATATATTCCAAATATTGAAGGGTTCTCCAAATCAAGGGAATAATTTATGCTGAGACACAGTCCTGAGGACTTTGGGGCAGGCTGAAGCAGCAGCACATTATTTAAAATTTGTCAGGAGCATCCCATTAATTTCTATGTGGAGAGCAGGGCTGAGGCCTCAGAGTCAAGCTGCTTTATAGCACATTCTTGGGCAGTTCCCCCGGGGAAGTGGTCTGTTGACCAGCACAAGCAACAACTGATGGGTTTGAGTCAGTGGAGGTATTGAGGAACCCTGGAGTATGTGAGTGAAATGGTGAAGAGTAGGGATGAGAGAACACTATTAGATAGAGGAAGAAAGAGGAGATATGGGGATGGAGAGCAAAGTTATATATTAAAGACAATAAAGACAAGAAGACACATATATATGGTTTTTATACTTGAGTAAAGACAGCATGAACTAAAATAAAACAAAACACCACCAAATAACACAAAAATAAACCAAAAGCTGTTCATAGGAGAGTTTGTCATTAGAAGACACTGAGGAAGAGTGGCTTTTAGGTTAACTGTCTCTCCTGGTCCCAATTTGACAGTACACAACATGAACTCTGTGTTGGTGGGATTGTAAAATGTATTTAGTATCTGTGTTGGGATTGTATTAAACATGTAGATTGCTTTTAGTAGGATTGTCATTTTCACTATATTAATAGTCTTCCTATTCATGAACAGGGGACATTTTCCCATTTATTTAGGTCTTTTATTGTTTCTCACAGAAGTGTTTTGTAGTTTTCATTTTAAAGGTGTTTTGTGTCTCTAGCCAGGTTTATTCCTTAGTGTCTCAGTTTGTGGTTGACTATTGTAAATGGTATTACTTTCTTGCTTTTAAAAAAAATCTCTATCAATTAATTTGTCCATATTCTTTCTGTTACAAATGTTTTTGAGGCTTCTCTCATCTGCTGCTGTAATTATCTTTGCAGTGGTAGACTTCCTCAGTCACACAACTTTTTCTCATGGATGTAATAATTACTTAAAAAAAACCCAAACTCACCACAACAAAAAACCAGGCAAAGCAAAACCCTTGTACATTATACATCTGGTTCTGTACAATTAACATAATTGGAACTTTTATTGTAAATGCATCTTAGTGCCCTGAGAATTTTCTAAATGACGTTCTTTGGCTTTAAGTGATTTGCAGAGCACCCCACCCCCACCGGCAGTTGGACACTAACTGAACACAGTCCCTGTGAGGCCACCACACGAGCAGGTGTTACTCTGCCCAGTGTTATTTTCAACACTTACAGGACTGACGTCAACAATTCCTACTTCTCGTTATTATTGGCTTTGGTTTCTGCAAAGCTGTATCAGGTTACTCTGTGGTGTCAGATTAGTCTTCAGAGTCATTTGAGTGTTTATAGCCAGACTTGTTTTAAAATAGATTTCTATGTGTGCGTATTATTTGAATACTTTTTTTTAGTAGGTGCCAGTCACCCCAGTATGGCTCCTACTTCTGAACATAGTTTCTATTTCCTACCATGAAAAACCCTGTAGGGAGGAGAAAGGAGTATACTCTTGAGACACATGGAAATGCCAAAAGGAAGCTATTCTACCATGCCACTCATTCACCTGAGGGTAGAGTTTGCCCTACGGTAGCAAGTTTCAGCACATACTATAGTGAGAATCCAAACCTGACAAACAGGCCAGAAGTGTGAATGTACATTAATGATATCAAAAACTCTTTGTCTAATTTTCTTTAAGTTTATCAAATAAATACTTAATAGGCAGTTTTTGGGAAGGGTGGAGGGTCCACGAAGGAGAGGAAGATCCTCAAGCAGGTGGATTGATACAGTCACTCCTGCAATGAGCTCTTGTATGTCAGGAAGTATGAGAATGACACAGGATAGAACAGAGTTCAGATCTTTTATTCATAGGGAATAACAACAACAACAACAGGCAGCTACTGGAAGGATTATTTCACTTAAAAGCTCTGATAGGGAATCTTGTGCTAAACTCTAAAAGGTGAGAGAATAAATCTGGGATGAATCTATTTCTAGGATGGGCTCTATCCTTCAGGTAACTTCATGTAAGCCCTGGCAACATACCTTCCTGTTATCTCTGGATGCATGGAAGGATTTTGATCATTTAGAGGAATGCTTTTAGCTAGAAAACTGTGCTACTTTCATGACGAAAGAATTTGAAAGTCCTCTTCATATGTGCTTGGAGTCACTGCAAATATTTTTCTTGAAATGGTAGTCTGTGGGCCCATAGTCAGGACTTTCTAATAGCCCCAGCTTACTTTTGGGCTTCTTAAAGACAGAAGTTAGGAACATTTGAGATGACATGCAATAATGGGGTAAGGATTGCACTGCTAATGCAAAGGCAGGCTGTATAAATCCACCAGAGGTTCTGAGGGATAAAGGTGGACAATCTCCTCCCATGTGTTACAGTCTCTGAAAACACACTAGAGGGACAGGTCTGACTTGGTTCTGACTGATGGCACATAACAGCCACCACCAGCTTTTAATAGTTGGGTTAGCCCCATTAACCTAATGCTTCTGATACTTAAAAAAGGGGGGAAAGGAGCAATCATAGGAGGGCTAGGGAGTGAGGCAAGAGCCTGAAAACAGGGCAGAACTCATTCAGGTGGGATTTTAAATTAACAGCAAAAGCAAAATCCTACTTGGTCGTAAGTATCCTCACCATCCTTCTACCATTTTTAGTAAGTAAATTAGAGCAGCCTGTGGGGACCTGGAGGTCTCCAAACAGCAGAAATGACTTGAGCATTGAACTTTAATCTTTTTTGAGGCCTGGCTACTATTTGACTGAGTTGCAGATTCTTCCTACCTTTTGCAAATTGGCAGTTGAAGTCTTTAGTCTGTCTGTAAAAATGGACGTTGTTTATTTACAAGATTTGAATACATAGTTTTTCAGACCAGATTCTTCTAATTTCTCTCAACCCCCCACCCCATCAAATTGTATAACTCCTTGATTAATCCCCACCCCCCTTGCACTTCCTCAACCCTCTGCTTCTACCTCCCACCCTCTTGGATTCACATACTCATTTTACAGTAATGGTTTTATACAGTATTTGTCCTTGTGGAACTGAGTTAGTTCACTCTGCATAATGCTCTTCAGTCCCTTCCAAGTTAGGTA